ATATAATTAATTTCACGAATATTCGTTTATGAAGCATTCAAATTCTTCACTGGATTTCCACGAATTTTAGAACCCACGAACATGTAACTTTTGATCAAACCACGAAAATTGATACCCACGAATAAAAGAACTTTCACAGTATGAAGAATTCAAAATCACATGTATAAAGGAATTCACTGTTGAATTTGGTAAACAAATTTTAAATGATATTGAGATATCACTGGTAAAATGTCTAAATGAGGCTTTAGAATATGGAGAATTCTCTATCACTCAAAAATAGGGACTTATTTCTTGTATAACAAAGGAAGGTAAGTCAAAATTTTATCTTAAGAACTGGCAACTTATCACATTGTTGTGTGTAGACTATAAGATTGCAAACTGGTCAAGCAAATAGACTCAAGAAGGTGTTAGTAAATATAATTAGCCAAACACAGTAATGTCTTCCTAAAGGTAATTATATAGGTGAATGTACTCGTTTTATTTATGACCTGATGGAAAAGATGGAGGATGAAGACATTCATGGACTATTACTTTTAGTCGATTTAGAAAGATTTCGACATAGTCGAATGGTCATTTATATTAGAGCCCTTGCATTTTTATGGCTTCGGTCATACATTTATAAGCTGAATAAAGGCATGCTACTGTAATGTCTCAACGCAGTTTTAAGTAAATGATAACTTGCAGAATTGTTTTTGTTAGAAAGGGTGGGAGTCCGTCAATGAGATACCCTCTCTCTCTCTCTGTCTATTTGTTTTAGTGCTTGAATTGTCTAGTGAAGCTATTAAAAATGACTCTGATGTTGCCGGAGTAACAATTGATGACTCAGAATTTTTATTGAGTCAATATGCAGATAATTCTTCCTTGGTCCTGGATGGTGATCAAAAGTCCCTAAATCAATTTTTACATTTGTTTTAATAAATTATCAGAATGTTCTGGTCTGAATTTTAATGATGACAAAGCTTAAGAAAAAAGGTAGTATAGAAAATTTTGTTTGGAATCTTTCTGGGAGGTTCAAACTATTATGTATCATAGGGAAAGGAAAAATGGAGGCTGCACATAGACTGGCATACATGATTTTAAAGCATATATTGACAAGATATGATATACCACAAATAGATGAAAACTGATTCTCCAGGACCAAAATTAACATTGAGCTGCTGAATGAACACGACAGGTAAAATTTCTTCTAAAAGTGACATTTGTCGGTAATGAACACCTCAGACTACATTGGAATCCCTAAACAAAGTTAGTGTTCATATTATGGGGAAGTCTCAGGTTGACTGTCTTTCTTAAAACGTCTATATTTTGCTGTGAACTTGCAGTTTTGAATGTTTTTGGTAGAAGCGACCGTCTACGAAGCCATAGTTTCTAAAACAATGAAAATGAATGTATTTCTACACAACATATCAGTAAAAAGCAATAATAAAAATAATAAAAATACTCTAAGGGAAATTAAATTCAAAACGGAAAGTTCCTTAACAAATGGTAAAATCAAAAGCTCAATCACATCAAACGAATGGAAATCAACTGTCATATTCCTGCACTGGTACAGACATGTCCTTACGTAGAAAATCGTGGATTAAACCTGGTTTTATAGCTAGCTAAACCTCTCACTTGTATGATAGAAGCATAAAACTTCATTATAGTGACAACAATGTGTGAGCAAAACAAACAGACATAACAGGCAAAAATGTCAAAACCGGGGCACAGCAGTCAACACCGTGCCACAACCCCAATTTCTATAAAAAAAAACTACCTGGTACCTTTGATAACTATTTACACCACTTGGTCGATGCCACTGCTGGTGGACGTTTCGTCCCCGAGGGTATCACCAGCCCAGTAGTCAGCACTTCGGTGTTGACATGAAAATCAATTATATGGTCATTTTTATAAATTTCCTGTTACAAAACTTTGATTTTTTCGGAAAACTAAGGATTTTCTTATCCCAGTAATAGATTACCTTAGCCGTATTTGGCACAACTTTTTGGAATTTTGGATCCTCAATGCTCTTCAACATTGTACTTGTTTGGCTTTATAACTATTTTGATCTGAGCGTCACTGATGAGTTTTATGTGGACGAAACGCGTGTCTGGCGTATGAAATTATAATCCTGGTACCTTTGATAACTTTGTCAACAAGTAAAAACAAAATGGCTTGTAGACACTCTATAGACAAAGCACATAAGCAAAAATAAATGACAAGAATACAAAAATGACCATAGCACAATAACACAATGGCGGGATGTATAAATACCGTGCCACGCCAAAAGGATATTACCAAAAATAGACTAAACAGTACAGGTTTAAGATATTAAAAGACAAATAAAAAAACCCACTATAACACGTTATTAAGATGACAAATATCGACAGTACCTAGAATCTATACTTAAAGACCATCATGTATTATTTGTGAAGTTGATACGGAACAAGGTCTTGGTATCCTCCGATGAATTTTTTTTAGCAAAAGGACGAGAAAGGTTTTTATTATTCTTCGTACATTTTCTTATATTATGAGACACATGCCTTCTATCAAGGAAATGTTCAGGCTGAGTATTTGTCGTGTCTTCTTCATACAAGTCTTGTGCAGCCCTGCATGCAGAGCTGTCAGGACCAGTGACAAGGTACTCAACTTCAATGTTGTCAGTCTTAAGGTCCAGGATACACTTTTTGGCCCAAGAACACATTCCCAATACTTTTCACCATTGGAATGTTTGCGATTGGCAATACACTCATCTGTACACTCTGCATGTAGACAGCCTGAGTCAGGAACCACTTCAAGACTTTCATGTTTGGCGCAGAGCTTTTTTTATATTTATACTTAATATATTATGGTCTATTGATATTCTAACTGTGTAGACAGTTTGTGCTGCAGGTTGAAATGGAGTCTTACACCGGAATACGGCGGTTTGATATACATTCCGTTCATCTGCACACTAATTGTGTTTGGATTTTTCTTGCGTCTGAGGCAGTTGATGTCAACAATTCCATTTTTTCTCCTTCTCATATCCATTTTATGCCTGTCTACTATTTTTTAATACTTACTTTTATTTGCTCTTTATTGTAGGCTTGATGCTGCTAGTGCTGCGTATTGCCACTGAAAATGATTTTGCTCATACTGGTGGAAGCTATTGGTGTTCAGCATGTATCCAGTTTGGTTTTCTGTCTGGCTTTCTCGTTTCATATTCTTCGTACAAATTTCTCCGACTTGTATCTGCATCTTGCACAAATCAAGTCTGGCGAGAATGCTTTTTTCTCCTCTTTCTCTAGATCACATTTAAGGAACTGTTCCAAATGTTGTCCATCTTGTAGACACACCGTATAACAAGAATTGAAGTCAGGCCTTGAAAATACAAAATATTGCACATCTACAGTTGTATCAATCATATTTTCAACAAATAAAATTATAAATTAGAGTTACCTGTCTGTTGTTTGGAAATGAAATTTTTAAAACAAACTGTTACATTTTGATATAGCTTTATAGGGCAATTTTTTTTCTGTCTCATTCAAACAAAACGTTAAATTACTAATTTTTAGAAGGAAAAGATAGAGTTTGATGTATTTAAAGTGTACGAAATGTGAAACTTCATGGAATTTCAGTATTGTTTAGAATTTTACCTCCGCATATTTTGTACTGTGACATTACTTAATTGTTCGTCTGTAAATGTTTTTCTCTATTTAGAAGTTAGATTAATTAGTTTTGCTTTACCCTCTGTCATTAACAGCACGTTTCCTGGAAATTTTTTTTGGAACATAGTCCTAATCAGACTTATGCTGCACAAGCACACCGCCTTGCGTTTACCTCTGGATCAGTGTATGGATCTATAACTACTAAATTGAACTTTTTCCTGGTAAGTCTCACTTATATTTAGGCGTGATCTAGTTACTTTTCACTGGCAAAAGTTTAGTCCTATTTTTTTGTTAAGAGCCTTAAATTTAAAGTCGTTCCCTTTTTTTGAACCCAGACATATTGGAATTGTACAGTTTTCGCTTTTAGTGTCAAATGTTTGTAAATTTGTTATATATCCTTTAATGTGGTCAGTATTTTATCTTGCAATACAAGTTGAAAGGAAAGTTCATTTAGTAACTGAAAATATCTGAGAATAAGCACATGCCCCCTTCAGAATTTTTATATATAGAGCTCACATAAATAGATAATTGTTATAGAATTGTTGAGATTAATTACTAAGTTAGAACTCGTAATGAGGGGTAAGGTTATCTGACTGTTTTAATTGTAAGTTTGCGGCTGATTATTTCAAAGGAGAAAAGACAGGGAAATGCCAGTGCAACTGAATATTTGACTATGGTTTTATATTGATCAAAGTGATGTCACGTTTTATTGGTTTTGTAGGAATAATCAATCCGAATTTTCAATTTGATCTTTTAGCACGTGAACATTCTCAATTCAATGATATGGCTAAAGCTTTAATCTTAAATAGGCAGATTAGCACAAATTATAGGAAACAACATCAGACAACTTAAAACTTCACAAAGTTTTAACAAATAACTAAAAAATATTTTTCTTGAATTTCCGTGGCGAAAAAAGGGTGTAATGATTATACATGAATATGGATTGCAAGATGCTTTCTTTATGGTATTAGATAATGATTTGTTGAATGCAACATATTAAAATTGAAATGATTACTAGGAAGCATTACGATGAAGCAAATTAGCAATTCTTAAGGAATTGACCATGAAACAATAAAGACTGAATATTTCAATAAGATTAATACAAATAATGAATTTATGATACCATGTGTTTTTTTTTAACTATCTAGAATAATTGTTTAATGACGTGTAAAAACTATTGATATTAAGATAAACAAGTGTTGTAAAAATGTATTATTAAAAAACAACCCTGCGATTTGGCAGGGAAGAAATTATGAGTAAAATGACAGTTTTGTATTATTACAACACCTGCGTTTTGGAAGGGAAGAAAGGATGAGCTTATTATTTTGAATAAATATACGTGGATTGATTTTATTGGATGAGGCAAGTGCTTTATTCAATGCAAACTATTGACGTTTTTGAGTTGGAGTTACATACTATATAAAGCAATCGCTTGTCGCCTCAAGACAATTTGAAATTATACGTCGATCTAAAAGCAAAAGATGAAAATTGGAGTTGTCATTTTGTTTATCTTTGTTGGATCAATTCTTCTGAATACAGGTTAGTCTCGAATAAATAATTGTTTTTCATTTAGACAAGTACTATTTGGTTACTTTTTCTTTCAAGATTGGGTGTAGCAAAGACGTTAAATTCAGACAAAATCTGCAACAAAAATTTGAAGTAGAAATATCGTATTGCATATAAACATACGGTGGAGGTCAATTTCATTTGATAAGATCAGGTTTTTGGTAAGCGTTTGAGTGTGAAACTGTTTGTAATAGAAAACTGTACAATAATTTTCTGATGTTGATCAAATTAATATAAATATTTTCATCACTAAAGGCTGTCAGTTGAAAAAAAAACTTATTTGCCTATAAACATCTCCGCTCTATTCATTTGTTTGATGTTCTACTTAGTTTGAAAATGGTATAATAAAATAAATAAAATTAAAAATCGACGAAGAAAAGTAAATGCATGTCTTATATTTTAGGGAATACGTATCCGTGTTTTTTTTCATGTAGGAGACAAAACCGAACATTCACAAGCTTAAGTGATGGAATGACTACGAGTTTCAGCACTGGAGATCCATCGGTTTTTACATCCACGAAGGAGAATATCACCTTATCCTTTGAATGCTATGAACGATCTGGTCCATTTATGATAATACGGTACGCGTTTATGTACATCATTTTTCATCAGCAATTTACACTTTTCCCGCATACCTTATGTATCCCTATTATCATGCTTTAAATATCTTGCAATACATCATGTTCCAACTTTGAAATATTCGGATATTTTTTTTTTATCACTCAACTGTCATTTATTGGAGGCTCAGACCTTTTACTTACTTCTCTTTCATGATAAATTTGCTATATTTTGTAAATACAATATCTGACTTACCAAATTGAGAAAGAAAGAAACACCACGGTATGTACAACAATGACAACCCAAGTGAATCTAAAATAAGAGACAATGAAAAGAAAGAGAGAAAGAACATATTATATCCCCTTCCAAAACATGTTCTATAATTAATAAACAAAGCAATGAAAGCTCATTCAATGTAGTCCTCTATAGTGGCTTACAAGTGAAGTAGGCACATGCTGCTTTCGTTTTATTGCGCATGTCCTCACAGTTTATAAGGAGCTTAACATGTTTGATGGGAAAATTTTGTATTGCAGGATATTGTGTCATATAGTACGGTGTGCCATCCATATTGAGTAGTTAGTATAACGACCAAGAGAGTCCAAGATTACTCTTAGAAGTCAAAATTGTACAAAACAAAAAGATAATTCAAATGCACCCATATAAAGTCCGTTCTACTTAGGCAATGAGAAAGCAATATTGATTCATTCATTTGTGTAGCACAGGACTTTTATATTGTTTTGCCTAATTAAACCTGCGTCAATTCTCAAAATTAAACACTTGAACAAATTATATGTACTGTATCTGCACAATACCTCCTCTATAATAAAAGCCAACCACAAACAGTGTATATGCATTCAATAAAAGTAATTTATTTAATTCATAAATTATATTATATTATACTGTATAACCAATCGTCAAACATGTCTGTATGTCAAAATCAAAAAAGGACTTTAACCAATTACATTATTTTTCAGTCGTCTTATGGATGGCAAATATATGTACAGATGTGAAAAAGATACAGCCTTCGAAACATCAAACGACGTCGTTGTTTGGTATGCTACTGAATGGGGTAAGTATATCGCCCTGAAATATATATATATATATATATATATATATAAACAAGTCTAAATTGAAAACAACGTCCAAACCTATGATTGCGTTGGATAAAAACCGCATGTAAAAAAAAATTCTTGGTAGAGGGGTCTAAATACAGCACAAACAACATTTTCCAAAAGACCAAAAAAGTGAAAAGTATATTTTAACAAATCGCATTTAACTAACAGGTCGAACAACTGATGTTCTTAAACCCTGCTGACTGTCATTACCGATTGCCAAATAAATTGATCACGAGATGTAACATGGATCTTAATTATTAATTTAATACCAAACAGAAAACAATAAACTTGCGGTGAAGATGGTATACCGCAAACATGAGATGCAAAAATTTGTACACCATATCCGGATTTCGACAATTAATGTCTCTTCAGTGATGTTAGGGATCGAAACGGTATTTGGAAGGCCATATAATTTACCTCAATTTAGGATAGACACTTGAATTTTAAAGAGTCGAAATAGGGTGAACGGATCATATAAACCCGAAGGAAAATATAATACAAGCCCAAACGAAAAAATATAAACAAGTGTATATATAGGCCCCTTGTAAAGTAAAAAAAAAAATGTATGTGTTACCTGTAAATATATATAAATAAGCATTTGTTGAAAATAACCATTCTTTTTATTTAGAATATTTTCCTGAACCACCTTCGATATGTGAAGTTTGTAATGGTACTGGATTTGGAAAAGTTCATGTTGTTAAAGGTAGGACAATTGTGTTACCTTAATATTAAAAACTGTATATTTGTTGTAATCAGATCAACGCCCAGTCGTCAAATCGAAGTTGAATTTGACGACATACGTCTAAGTAAGATTCAAATTGACTGCCAATTCTGATCGCCTCATTTTGATGTAATTTTTCATTTTCTCAAATAAAAGTCCAAATCTTGTTTTTCTAACCTACTTCCTTTTTTCTTGGAGCATGATAATGACACTACAACCACCATGTAAAAATATGAAATCAACAAATACCAGTCAGTTAATACCTTGCGACCTGCTTGTCCTTTTTGACATATTAAGATGACGACTTTTATTAAAATAATTTATGCAGTTATGTACAACAATTCTATAGCCATTAATGCAAACAATGATATAAGTTAAGCCTTTTGCTGACTTTTTTGGTATTAAACAAAATTAAGCTAAATGATCCTTTGATAATAATAGCTTTTCATTGCCTTCCGCTATCTTGATCTCTTTTGAAAACATGAAATATTTAGTTCAAATATAAAAAAAAGAGTTGGTAATACCTTTTTATAAAGCCGTTTTTGTCACTTAAATTAGAAAATCAAATAGTAGAATAAATCTTAGATAATATCCTCAAGATGATCATAGGGTATAAGTCTTGGGCTCAAGCCTTAATTTGAAAACTTGCCATTAATATTTTAATATAATGACAAAATTCCTATAGGGAACATACTTTTAATTGTTTTAGTATGTAAACTGGTTTTATTTTGATTCCTATTGTACTATGTACATGCTATTTGCAATGATTACAAACATTGATAATCACAGGATGTTCAAACCCGTGACAGCTAATTCCAAAGATGAGGAAAGAATTAGTTTTTATTTAGAATTCGTATATAAGGGTTTATATGCCATCAAGTTTAGCAATATTTTCCACCAAACATATGTGCATAAATACATACCCGATACCCACAAGAGGATATTAGAGACCTTAACCAAACCTACCGATATCTCTCGTTTACTGCCCCAAAATAAATATTTCAAAATTTAGTTGATTTATCTGAAAAAAGCATCCAACATTTCACGGTAAATTGTGACCGAAACATGGTTCAGAAGGAAATAACTTCAGTTTTAACTGGATTTTTTTCAAGTGATCAAGCTCTTTTAGATATTTCATACATAATTTTATATAGTTAATTGACCAATTTGGTATCGCCTGCCCCTCTTTTTTTAGATATGTTTTTCTATGTATGTATGAAATTACAAGTCAAAATATATCCGATTACCCACAAGAGGATATTAGAGACCTTAACCAAACCTCCCGATAACTCTCGTTTATCGCCCCAATACAAATACAGTCCCGCTGGTCATGTTATTATCGAAGAATTTGGCATCGTAAACAATGAACAACTTAGAGAATTTCATACCAAAAGGCCTGCAATTATTGATTGTTTATATTGGACGTTTATTAGAGGATAACATGTATTGGACCTAGATTTGAGACTATTACATCTGATCCGCCCTCGATTTGAGGAACAGACGAAGATAAGAGACCGGACATCGTTCTGAGTCTTACATGCATGTATGTATTGTATATAGAGGGCTTTTATTGATAATACAACTCATAAATTCAATGAAATCTGTTTTATAATTCAAACTCGTTCCCCAGTATCACCGGTTTATTCAATTCAACGAATACATTTATTTTCATTGGTCTACAATTTGTCTTTAATGAAATCTTTTATTTGTATTGCTAGTTATATATCTCGAATCAAACAAGTCTTTGACTTGTAATTGCATATATACATAGAAGAACCTATCTAAAAAAAGGGCAGGAGATACCAAATTGGTCAATTAATTATATAGAATTATGTATGAAATATCTAAAAGAGCTTGATCACTTGAACAAAAATTCCAGTTACAACAGAAATTATTTCCTTCTGAACCTTGTTTTGTTCACAATTTACCGTGTAATGTTGGATGCTTATTTAAGACAAATCAACTAAATTTTGAAAAGCTTTTAAAAAATTCCACTCGTTCAAAATGCACAATTATGTAAATGCTTGTGAAAAATTAATATCGCCAAATACTATTTTAAGTCTATACATGTTTTCTGTACTCCCTGGGCATGTTGCAAACATACTTTTTTAGTTTTAAAAATATTTTACCAAGTATCATTCAATATACAACAGAATTATCTAAAACTTGAAATTTTAAGATTAAACTATAAAAAATTAAGTGTATTTAAAATTTTCAGAGAAATTGTTGTACAATTAAGGGCAGATAATTATATTGAATTAGACAATTTGTGGTTTTTTTTTATTTTTCCAGAAAATAAGGTCCGTCATCCTAATATCAAAATATAAAACTAAAGGTTTTGGATATTCAACTTTTGGGAAAATTAAATTAACTAAAAGACAGGCAAGAATTTTTTTCTCCGCAATGTGAACAGGTTGATATGTTTGAAAATCAATAATTCTGAATGATTCGTTGAGGTAAATAGCTAAAAAAGGTACAGTTTTATCACAAACGAGGTTTCACAGTGTTGATTACATAAACCCGGAAAAGTACATGTATGAACTATGAATTTATTCTTGAGGTAAACTAACAAAAGTATTTCAAAAGAAATAATTGAGATAAAAGAAAAACATCACTTATAATTCATTGTATAAATAATTTGTTTCGTTAGGGTTGCAATTTTAAGTGTGCTTGTTTGTTCTGTTGGATTTGTATGTGTTTTGTGTTTTTTTGTGTGTTTTTTCTGAAGTAGAAATTAATGATCGAAACATGACTTTAACAAACATTATCTTGTGTTACAGCGGATGATGCCGGTGAGTAAAAATACAGTTTCCTTAATCAATTAGTATGAATAATTATGTAACTATATGTGTGTTATTCTTCATGAATTTAGCGCTTCAATTTTAAATCTGCAAATTTGCAGCAGCAACACTAAAGACTGAGCAACACGAAATCCGCTCATTAAAGATGCACGGCTTAATATTTATTACACAAGACGCGGATTTTGTCTACATATGACTCATAGATAAATCAGAGAATGCATATATCAATACTTATAATTTGAAACATCTACAAAACACATTATGCTAAGCAAATTTATTTCAGTAGGGCCTGTTTCACCTTTTTGCAATTTAACTACTAGTATATACCCATGTCATTAATGATACTTATTTCAAAATAAAACACTTTGGCATTCCTGAAATGTGTGCTTCCATGTCTTACACAGTTTGAAACAAAACGATTATTAAAGACCAAAACTTAAAATTCATACAGAAACAGTAGTCAATTCAGTCATATTTGATTCAACGAACCATAAACAACAATAAATGCATAGTTTCAATTTAGTTTTCGATGTTAAATATTGCATTCGTACATTCTATTTACGATGACAGCAATTATAAATACAAGATTATAATAATGTCACAAACGCATGATTTATTGGAATATTAATGCATCAAATATCACGGTTTTATTGCATCATATCTTTTTTTTGTTTTGGATATTTACAAGTACATACCATATACTGACGCAAATCCAGTTCTTATATCGACACACGTATCAATCTAATTAAAATTAAATCCTTTAATTGCTCCCGTTCTGATATATAGAACGGGAACAATAAAAGGATTTAATGTAAATTAGATCGCACAAGTATTTGAATTTTTCGTTTCCCGATCGTATTAGGGTCATTAACTCAGGAGTACAGTGCATGCATGAGTTCTCTTTGATACGTACTCCAATGCAGAATGTAGCGGAGCCTTCCGAAATCATCTAAAATCGTTATATTTGTTCATTTACCAGATGACGAAAGAAAATTAAGTATAAAGTATTTTGCTAGTGTTACTATTTACTTAATAATGCTTTATTTCTATTATAATGACTTGAATGATTAAAAGCTTTTGAGATGCAATCTTTAAAAATTTCCAGTTTTCTGCAAATTAATTCTGATATCGGATTTATCTAATGCATTCTAATTTCAGCCTGTAAAGTTGGTAAGTTAAATCAAAATATATTATAACAAACTACAATGTATCTTTAGACAAATATATATAATAGGATTGTGTTGAATAATTTTGAAGGGTCGTTTTCAATGTTGTCCGAACGATCAAATACTAGTAGTTGTTTTAAAGTAGAGATATTGCCTGGTGCTCACAACAACCAGTAAAATAAATTTAGAAAAAGTATCAACTGTAGTTGTGGTTCGGAAAAAGCGTACACTTTACAAATTGAAGCAATAACACATTTAGTGGTTACATAATAAGAATATTATACTTTTATGCGTACTTCAAATAAGTATGGTTTACTTTTATAAATTTTGACTTGGATGGAGAGTTGTCTCATTGGCACTCATACCACATCTTCTTATATCTAATTACTTACTTAAACAGTTTCCAATGCAAATGTTGAATATAGATACAAGGATACAGTCACATTTCTGAGATCGTAATTGTCTCTAAGTTTATTTTATAGACATTGGTCAAAATGTTACTCGATTAATGATTTCTCAGATACATTTTCATTGTTTTTTTAATATTAAGTTTAATTTTTTAGTTATACCGGATGGTAAGTGAAATTAATTAAACCTTTTGGTTATAATTACATTATGGAGCAGGATCTGCTTACACTTCCGGAGCACCTGAGACCACCCTCGTTTAGCTCAGTCTTAAGTTTTCTATGTTATGTTTTGTTTACTGTTGTTTGTCTTTTGATCTTTTACTTTTTTTGCCATGGCGTTGTCAGTTTATTTTCGACTTATGGGTTTGAATGTCCCTTTGGTATATTTTGCTTCTCTTTTAAACCTTTTGGTAGAGGTATTTGTGAGGGGTTTATTTATATTGATTTAATGAGCTCAAAGAAATGATCTTGAAGTGTATGTGTAATAAATATAAAACTAATGTGTTCCAATGATATAACTATTCACCATATACTAAGACGAACAACTTGAGGACATTGTACGGCCTTCAACAATGAACAAAAGGCCTTGCCATGACAATATGTAAAACAATACACAATATTAGAGTACACTTGATGGGTTGTGCTCATTGTTGACTAAATTAGAATATTTTTACTGACAGATGAATTTGATCTATGAAATGATACAATGATACAATTCAGGTAATTTCATTACATCTATGACGAGATTAAGATGAAATGATAGGAATAGCAATATATTTTTCAGAATTGGGTAGTTAAGAGATATGTATAAAATATGCAATAACAGTATTTTATCTTCAGTTAAAGAACTAGGAAGTGCTTTTCATTTCTGTCATGAATTTCTGCCTTAAAAACGATCGTGCAGTTGGTGACATTAAGCACATATATTCAAAAAAAAAAAAAATTGAAACGGTTTTTGTTTTGTTATTGTTGCTTGTTTATTTGTTCCCTTTTTCTTGTCCAGAATTGGGATGCACCCTTCCTAGGCAATGCCCAGTCACAGATCCAAACACACAAATTCAATGTAACGGATGTGAGTGTTCTGAAAGTTCTGATGATGGATTATGTTGCTCCGACCCGGATGATAACTTTAAATAAATAAACATGTGATTTCAGTATACAGAGTCATTATTTGTAGCCAGTAATCTTTTCGTACTACTTGAATAACAAAATTAGTTTAGTACGAATTCTATTATTCCAGATGACAACGGTCGGATATGTTCCAATTTTCGTAACTACAATCCCGTCCCCTTTTCCCTGAATGTGACCTACCGAATTAGACTTATCAACGGGTTTGTACTAACATGAACAACACGACAGGTGCCACATGTGGAGCAGAATCTGCTTACCCTGCCGGAGCACCTAAGATCATCCCCAGTTTTTCGTGGGGTTCGTTTTGCTCAGTCTTCGGTTTTCTATGTTGTGTTTGTGTACTGTTGTTTGTTTGTCTTTGTCTTTTTCTTTTTAGCCATAGCGTTGTCAGCTTATTTTCTACTTGTGAGTTTGAATGTCCCTTTGGTATCCTTCGCCTTTCTTTTTCGATCAACATTCTAAACCATATTCTAACTACATTTTTTATTTAATTAATGAAATACCTTTATCTGGAGTCTAAACTAAGACAAACAAAGCACAAATTAAATAAAGCTAGTGCTTTCGCTATTTGGTATTTTACGTGCAAATAACGAAAAAATGATACATATGTAAAGGTTTAATGACTTGTGTTCCACAGTAATAACAAACATGTTCAATTGATTATTGTTTTCATTTTGTTTTGCTTGTCGTATATCCTAGGTTCATTCTTTCATCTGTGAAATCAATAATCTCTCATTCAAATCTGTTAAAGAATACTTATCAGTTTTTATTTGCTAAAAACGTCAGGATATACAAAGGTGGTTATTAAATTAATTTCATAAGTAAATGGAATACATACAACACCCATTGCTGAAAGGAATAAGATTGATACAACAGTCCAAAGAATATTGAACAAAAAGTAGAATATTCAGCAAAGACAACCTGTTCAAAAATCGTGTTGACATTGCAAATTTCGCTCAAAAATCACATTAAATTCGATACTGAATATGGGTATTAGTTCGCTTCGCGGATAGCTCTAGTTATAGTTACTTTGAAATTCAGGAGACCAGCCTGATAAAATATTTTTCTACCGTGGAACTAAAGAACACTTTTAAACTTGCTTCAGTGTAGCTGTGAGACGCTTTTGCGAAAAATATATTAACAAGGAAACTAAAAAAAAAAGAAAACAACACGTTATAAATTTCATGCGTCCGAAGCGCTTTTCTGGATTTACCTTCATCAGGAACGACCAAAGCCGAATATTTGAAAGCCAAGGACCTAAACAGTTGAAGAGCTATATAACCAAAATGAACCTAAAAAAAAATAGCCAAATCCATCTAAGGTCAACTTTGCCTGAAAGAGTTGAAACCTTAGCTTCTCAACAATTTCAAAATTTATTTACGGACAATTTTAGGAAGGTTTGTTATAAATCATGTCAGTTCCAAAATACTGACTACTGAGCTGATGATACGCGCGTGGACTGATAGTCCACCAGCAGAGGTATCGATAATAATAATAATCCCAATGAAGGCGATGTAGTTGGCTATTGTACTAACCATATCGTGAAAAAAGATAAATACACTGACTACTGTAGGAATAAAATGGTTATTCGGATATACAAGGGCTCCATACTTGAACACTGCATGCAGTAAAAATACAAGCAAATGGGATTTTGTTTTCATATAAAAGGATGTCAGACTATGAAAAGTGTGGAAAAATAAACAAGAGGCACACTTGTTGAGAAAAAATTGCATATTAGGACTTTTAGATGTACATTCTAAAGTTACTCTTTGTGTTGCTGATAAACAGCCAAAACTGCCAAAAAAAGAGTGCACACGCTGAAATGTCCCGCCTGCTTTATTGACAATTGTTTTTATGTTGATAGCCCTAAATATACCATTATACTACAAGTACCACACAAACTTAACATGATAAAAAAAAATGAGTCAAGGTTAGATAAACCAAGCCAGAATACATGTACACCTTACAATTATATCATACACTGAATATTGTTGACCTATTGCGTAAAGTACACAAGGAACAGACCAAACTATGAAAAATAGATATTGGCCAATGAACCATGAAAATGAGATCAAGATCAGATGAATCCTGCCAGACAGACATGTACACCTTAAAATCATTCCGTGGATCAAATAAAGTTGACCTATTGCATGTAGTATCTAAGAAACAAACTTAAACAGGAAGCCGTAACATTGACAAATGAACCATGAAAATGAGGTCAAGTCATCTGATATCTGCCAGACAGACATATACACATTACAATCATTCCATACACCAAATATAGTTGACCTATTGCTTACAGTTTGAGAAAAAAGATCAAAACACAAAAAATTAACATTGAGTAATGAACCGTGAAGATGAGGTCGATGTCAAATAAAACCTGCCTGACTGACCTGTACATCGTAAAATATTTCCGTACACCAAATATAGTTGACCTATTGCATATAGTATTAGATAAACAGACCAAAACACAAAAACTTAACTTTAACCACTGAACCATGAAATTGAGGTCAAGGTCAGATGACACCTACCAGTTGGACATGTTCACCTTACAATCATTCCATATACCAAATATAAAAGACCTATTGCTGATAGTATCTAATACATGGACTTGTCCACAAAAATTAATCTTGTTCACTGATCCATGAAATTAGGTTGAGGTCAAGTGAAAACTGTCTGACAGGCATGAGGACCTTGCAATGAACACACATACCAAATATATTTTTCATATTACTACTCTTAATAAGAAAGAAAAAAACCTTACAAAATTCTGAACTTTCATTTCAAGTAGTCCCTGAACTATGAAAATGAGGTCAAGGACAATGTGCATATGACAGACGGAAACTTCATAACGTAATGCATCTATATACAAAGTATGAAACATCCAGATCTTCTACGTTCTAAAATATTAAGCTTTTAAGTAGTTAGTTAACGCCGCCACCGCCGCCGCCGGATAATAGTAATAATAATAATGACTTTATTTAAAGAGGGTGACTCAATTAGCATCCACTAACAGTCAGGGGCGTTACTTAAACAAGTAATTTTTTAGTTACTTATATAGGTAATTTTTGTTTTTAAAAATTATAAAATTACTCAAAAGAGTTATTTTAAATTTCAATAGAGGCATGGAATAAATGTAGTTTTCATGAATTTTTACATTATTTTATATCATAAAATAAAGAATTTATTAGATTTGAGAGGAGTATAGAGATAAAGGGTTAAAAATAATAACAAAAATATTACTTGAATAAGTTATTTTATATATCTTTGAAAGAATTAGTAATAACACTTATTTAAGGAACATATGTAATTGTTTTGGGTTACAAATTATAAATAACTTCAAGTCTTAATTAATTCACAAGTTTCTATCTAATTATATCTGTCTACCTTCAAGATTTTCAAGGGAAATGATATTTTGATAGTCCCAAGAGACCAATCTTTGACCCAGAAGCGTCGATATGAAAGATAAGTGCGTCAGAAAAGTAATTAGTGTTTCAGAAGGATTAGATTTTATATTTCATGGGAAAAATAACCAGATGACTGTGAAAATTTGTTAAAGCTAGTAAAATCTGAATAATAGGACACATATACAAATAATATTTAGAAAATTACTTATATAAGTTATATTTAAAATAGCCTCGTTTTCAACATTAATTGTATAGGTAATTATAAAAGTTACTTGTTTAAGTAATGCCCCTGACTGACTAATCTACCTTGAGGCCCTCACAAAAAAAAACATACAGAACAAATATTACAGATATTACACTTTTTGAACATATAATTAAACTTTCATGCTAGATGATTGTCTTTAGAAAAAGAAAAAGAAAATAATACATTATACACAAACATGAAAACGACATGATAGAGTTAGAGAGTTGTTACATATCATTTATCATGTTTATAGTTAAAAAAATCTACACATTTTCTTTTAAAAGTACCTAGATTTTCACATAGTTTTATTTCATTTGGTAGTTTATTCCAAAGTAGTGAGGAACTGTATGTGAATTATTTTTTCATCGAATTTGTATTAGGTCTCA